TTTTTTTTAAATCTAACACAGCCTCTGGTCAGTCAATACTCCCATCTCCACATACACCCTTGCAGAGGCCTGGCCTCTGCGTGTCTATTAGCCTTTTCCTGGACCTGCTCCATGTCTCGTCTCTCCAACAGAACTCCCATGTCATCTGCTGCTGGCAGCGCTCCCAGCTGCCAGGAAGCAGAACCCCAAACCATCCCAGACAAGGAACCGGTCCGCACGGACGGCTCAGGCTTCGAGCCAGCCCTGCTCAGGGAGTACACCGATGTTCCCCTCCCAGAGCTGCTGCTCTGAAACACACTATCACAAACATCAAGGTTTGCGAAAAACTAATCCAATTTACTTTTAACATTAAAAGGAGAAGAAAATAGGAGTATAACTGTATTTCGTGCAGCACAAATTCCAACAAACACTTTGGGTTTTTTGTAAGGGATTGAAGGAAAAAGTCCCATAAGTCACTGCAAAGACATTTTTGAGTAGATTATTTACATGTGTTTCTTTGCCAACAGTAAACCTCAAAGAAAAGAAAGATAACATGTCTTTGTTCCTCAGAGTCTTTTACATTTTTAGGGCTACACTTACAACTGGAAGAACAGTTCATAAATAGTATTTATATATAGGTACCATTTGGCAAAACTGCCCTGTTACAGACTTTCCCATTCAACCATAGTAATGGGGAAAAGTTTCATGATGTTTGTGATGATTACACAAGAAAGTTTAGATTGGATTCTTACCTTATCATTTACTGACTTGTCGTTATTACTGTTGTTCCATTGTGAGCAGGGATAATAGGTGCAGGGATAACAGGTGCAGGAAACTCCAGTTCAGGGGCATCAAAAAAGTACGCCTGAATTATTAGAGAAGAAAAACACTGTTTAGAGAGAAAGAAACAGTTGTGCTTCGTCCCAGCTTTCTTTTCCACACCCACTGTTCACAAGGTACAAACAGAGAATTGAAATGGCAAATCTGGATCTTTTCTGGTTTAATCAGATTAGAAATGGTGAAATAAAATGCTGCTCTAAACTGTACTTTTCAATATAACAGTTAGCAGCTAAGGCGTTTGAAAAAGACCTGTACTGGAAAGGACTGGATTGCAGACGTTTATTTGGCTCTGCCAGTTTAACTGAAGAAGCTCCAGGCAGTCTCTGGAGACAGGAGCCGCGCTGAAGTCAGCTGCAAGTCTCCTGCTAACTCGAGAGCTGTGTTTGCCTTCGCCCCCCTGCACGCTGAGCTGCAGGGAGCCAAACCTGTCTACTCTGGAAGCTGGGGCAGGGGAACAGAACCAAAGCCTGAGTGATTATCATTCTACCTACTGCAAAAAAGACAACAAAATAATTTAAGTTCTCATCACTACGTATGCCAGTAGCGTTAGGATCTTCTGCTTTCATAATGCTGGCATTTTACTAAGTGCTAGCAGGTTCACGTTTTTGTACATAGAACTCACAAGCACACCTTACATATTGAACATTTAATCATTTTAAAGGACTAACGAAGCACAGTACTCATTGGAATAAGCTGCATCCGGATACAATAAAGACTAACACTTTGCTGATACTATGGAGAATTCCAGATAAATTTAAGACTACTCTCGGTGTCTTTGTGCTAAAGACATTCATTATTGAGTTTGTTACGGGCACTGTCAAAATCAGATTGGCATCAATTTTTGCTACGTTTGACGTAACAGGATTATTTTACTTTGCAGGTTTTTCAGAAGTACTATTTCTTTCTTTTTTAATAACGTTTTTCCAGCAACCAGCCAACTCCTCCTTCCCCACACTGTAACATGTCGCCAGTCCCAGAAAATATCAGATCAGAGCAAAGGAAAGGCAGCATTGTACCAAACAGCCGACAGACAGCAGAGCATGAAGCAGAACGACAGCCCCCACGGTCATCAGCGCGATCCTCCGGTTGTCGTCTCGGACAGCGGGCCAAAAGGTCATCACCAAAACAGACCCCGAAAGGCACAGGGAGAACATCACCAGGACCCAGCGCACCACTTTTTGCGGTATGATCCATAAAATCTGTAAAAGGGAGTAAAATGATAATTAAAGAGACTGTGTGGAACAAGGATTCATTTAACGCATCATTCTGTGACATTTCATCACTTCCAGACAATTTGTGCACAAATTAACTCCTGCCTTATCTGATATGTCTGTTATTTGAAGAAAGACTAACAACACTTGCAGACATGACAAGAGCATGTCTCCCGAGTTACGGCACTCCCTCCAAGGCCTGCCCCTTACCAGAGCAGCCCAGGCTGGTCCCTGCCAGGTAAACTTCTCCTCAGAGCCATCAGCGCTGCCACCCGGCACACTGATGTGGGGACACATGCATCGCCAGTCCTGCAGCCACCACAGGCTGCCTGCCAGGCTCGCCAGCAGCACCCTCGCTTGGATTTCCTGCCTCTGGGGAAGCCACCTGCCCCAGGCTATTCCAGGACCCACAAGACATCTTTACATTACCATAGAATCACAGCATCATTGAGGTTGGAAAAGACCTCTCAGATCATCAAGTCCAACCATCCACCCAACACCACCATGCCTGCTAAACCATGTCCCGAAGTGCCACATCCACACATTTTTTGAACACCTCCAAGGATGGGGACTCCACTGCTGCCCTGGGCAGCCTGGTCCAATGTCTGACCACTCTTTCAGGAAAGAAATTTTTCCAATCTGAACCTCCCCTGACACATCCTGAGGCCACTGCCTCTTGTCCTATCGCTAGTCATCCCTTTGGTTGTTCACTGGGGGGAAGAGCCCACCCCCTGCCTCACTACAACCTCCTGTCAGGTAGCTGTAGAGAGCAATAAGGTCCCCCCTCAGCCTCCTCCAGACTGAACAGCCCCAGCTCCCTCAGCCGTTCCTCATCAGACTTGTTCTCCAGACCCCTCACCAGCCTCGCTGCCCTTCTCTGGACACGCTCCAGCACCTCAACGCCCTTCTTGTAGTGAGGGGCCCAAAACTGAACACAGCACTCGAGGTGCGGCCTCACCAGTGCCAAGTACAGGGGCACGATCCCTGCCCTGCTCCTGCTGGCCACACTATTCCTGACACAAGCCAGGATGCCGTTGGCGTTCTTGGACACCTGGGCACACTGCTGTTTAGACAAGCTGAAACAGTAAGCTTTATTCTAGCTAAGCAAAAGGTCCACATGATTTACCCAGTCCCCAAGATTTTGGCCAATATGAACATTACAAGAAATAGAAAATTTCCTGAACCAGGACCTTTTTTCATGGCATGCAAGAGGTGCACTCCTTAGGCCGTACTTACCGCTGTGGGAATGTAAATGAAGAGGGAGTAGCCATATACACACACTATCTCCAGGAAGGAGTAGGACACAATGTTCATGACTTTACTGTTCCTCCACATCAGGAATCCCCAGAGGGCAAGGGGAACAAGCCAAGCGTATGCATAAATCGTTGTTGCCGCTATGGACACTGGAAACATGACAAAAGATTTCACATTTTATTTAGAATATCAGCCAGAATCAAATGTGTGAAAGCGTTTAGCCTGAAAACTAGAAAGCTACCTTTGAAGTTACTTTCAATATATAAAGTATGAATTACTAATAAACTGAGAACTTTGCATTTACATGCAGTTTACACCCACTATTTTGCCAACACTTCACATTACTTTTAAAAGTAAAGATTCCAGAAAGTATTCTCTTGGTATTTTCAATTTCTTTATCACACCTGTGTACAAAATGCTATCAGTTTCAGTGTGAAAGGAAGAGCCACGGAGGAAAAAAAGCCTGGTTAAACATAAAAACTCAGCTAGTAACAGCTACTGAAAAATGAGAACAGAACGCGGGCATGCTAAAAAAACCTGAAAGAACACAGACACAAGTGTCAAACCTGAAATTATTGAAGCGCCTGGATTCCCTGGGTGGCAGCGTTCTTCCAAGTAAGCTGGGGATTCTTGAAGCAAACAGGAGGCGCGCCCCTCTGCAGGGACAGCGTCTCCTCCAGACTACAGAGACAGGTACAGACAATTGGCTCCTCACACCGAGTTCTTTGGGGCACGTATCACTTGAGCATCTTCTGCTTATGCTTGAGTTTGCCAGAAGCTAACAGCTTCCAGCTCTCAGTAGGTGCTATGAGTAACACTAATGCAGCCATTTTCTGCCCGAGGCCTGCAGGCTCCTAGGAGGCCACAGATCCACAGCAGCACCCACAAAAGCACCACAGTGGCCACTGCCAGGCTTTCCCTCTCCGCACAAGCGGCATTCACTAAAGCTAAAAAAATAATTGCTCCAATTACTCCTGCTTGCTCTACTAAAAGCCTGTAACTACTTTATGCTCCGGAGGAGTAGGGCTCTGGCAGCTACAGCCCACTTTAAAATTTCAGAGATGTGAAGAGAGTCCTTAAAGAGACCAATCAAACAGAGAGACTCTGCTAAACCAAAGCTGTGACCTGCTTTTATATTACTTCATTAGTGCTTAGAAAAAAACAAAACGAAAAAACAAACCCACAAACTCAGGACTGTACCGACTACTTACAAACCTTTTCTGAATTCCGGCACGTAGTGGTACGTTGGTTTGCCCAGATGGATGAAGAAGTTCGAGAGATTGCCACTGACAGCGATGGTAAAGACAAGTGTGGCACAAATCCAAAACGGACCTTAAAAGGAAACAAACAACTTCAAGAACAGCTCCTCTGCCCTCTTGTTTAAGGTTAGCAAGCAAAAAGAAATACAAACTTGAAACATTTAGCACAGAAGTGAACTTCTCACACCTTGCACCTACCGTAAAGGTCGGGATTGCTGCGGATATACAGCCTTACAAAGTTCTTCCCTGGTACTGGGAAAACCGAACCTTTGATTCTGTCCAGGACCTGTGAAAACACACAGATTTGTCTGACTGAAAAGCAAGGAGGAAAAAACCTCAGCGTCTGGATAAAGCATGGTCCAGACAACAGTTTTCCTCTGGAGTGGAGTATTAACCTGGTACGTGTCCACATCGAAGAATGTCTGGTAGTACTCGAATGTCCAGAAAGGGGCACTTTTCTTCTGTCCTGCGAGCAGCTGCGTGGCGGGAAAGGCAACACGGAAAATGTTACAGGCACGCAATTTATGCATTACTAGTTCATTTACACAACAGTTAAATTATTTCAGTACCTGGACAGAAAACAAACTTCACAGGGTGGTGCTTACTACAAATTATTTACTCATTTCCCTTTCCCCCTCCAATATTTGCAGCAGCAGCTAGTCTCTTATCTCCCCACAAGCAGAGTGGTGGCCTGGAGTTCCAAGGAGCAGCCTGATACCATCTTCTGCCACATCACGTACAACGCACGCCTTCATCCGCATCACAAATTCCCTTGCCGTCGCCGACGGCTGCGTTAGCTGAACCCCAGACGAGCCCTGGCTGTTTCGAAGCTTTCTGCTCTCCTGCCAGAGCCACCACCCCCACAGCAGAACCAGCAGAAACAAGCACAGGACTGGCTTTTCAGCTGCTGCTGCGCTCATCTCCTGGCACGTTTCCTTAGTGTAAATCACCACCATTTCAGTACAATTCCCTAGGCTGCAGGCCACAACAGCTCAAGAGCCAGTGTGCATTTCCTTCTGCCAACTCTGCCATCGAGAAAGTAACTTGCAACAGAGAAGAATCACAGAATGGCAGGGGTTGGAAGGGACCTCTGTGGGTCATCTAGTCCAACCCCTGTGCCGAAGCAGGGTCACCTACAGCAGCCTGCACAGGACCTTGTCCAGGCAGCTCTTCGCAAAAATGAACAATCCACAACCTCTCTGGGCAGCCTGTGCCAGGGCTCCATCACCCTCAGAGGGAAGAAGTTCTTCCTCATGTTCAGCTGGAACTTCCTCTGCTTCAGTTTGTGCCCATTGCCCCTTGTCCTGTCGCTGGGCACCACTGAAAAGAGTTTGGCCCCATCCTCCTGACACCCACCCTTGAGATATTTATAAGCATTTCTGGAGTCCCATCTCAGCCTTCTCTTCTTCAGGCTAAACAAGCCCAGCTCCCCCAGCAGAGGGAAGAAGCAGAGTTTTAAGTCACCCAGCACAAATTCCTGGTGTCCCCACACATCTCTCAGTGTGGCCAGCACCGTCTGCACAGCCGCTGATGGAGGCACTGGAGGTGCAAGAGCGTCAGTTACCTCTGTTTTATCGGAGTCATCAGTCCCCAGCAACTCATCGTCCTCTTCTCTCCCCGGCTCCTGCAGCCGGCCGTGCTTATTCTTGGGGATCTCGCCTGGCTCATCGATGCTTATGGTGGTAGCGTCACGATTCGCTGCAAGCAAATTAGCTGCATCGTCAAATTCTGCAAGTAAGTAAATTATGAGACAGATGATGACCAAGCTACCAAAATCCTTGTTCTTGTGGCTCAGAAACTCACGCTCAGCCCCCCGGGCAGCCCAAGGCCACGTCAGCAGCTCCGACACGCCAGTAGGGTCTGTGTCTTGGGGCCCGGAGTGACGGGGGTGAAGGCGACCGCACGAACCCGCACCGCGGGGGCCGGCCAGGCTCTGCCAGCCCGGGGGAAGCCGCCCCTCCGCAGGGGCTGGGGA